CCATCAAAGATCATAGACTGTGTTCAGTTGTCATGTCCTTTTAGTCTCCTCTAATCAAGAACATTTCCCTAGCCATTAATTTAGTTCTTGTTTTTTTATCTTCTTGTTGCATTACTATTTTTGAAGAAGCCACATCACATGCTTTGAAGAATGCCTCTTAATTCAGGGTTGTGCAGTTTCTTCTTCATGATTAGGTTCAGGTCAAATATTTAAAGTTATTGGAGTACCACATAGGTGATGCATGTCCTTCACAAAGCATCAAAAGATTTTTGTGATCTTAGTTCTCTTATTATTAGTGACAATAAATTTGATCTCTTGGTTAAAGCAGTGTCTGTCATATTTCTCCTTTGTAAATGGACCTTTTCCCTTTTGTAATTAACTACAGGGATACGTTCTGAGAAATGCATCACTAGGCAATTTTGTTGCTGTGTGAACATCATAGAGTGTACTTACACAAACCTAGATAGTATAGCCTACTACACACATAGGCTATATGGTGCTAATCTTAGGGGACCACTGTTGTATATGCACTCTTTCATTGACAACAACATTGTTAGGCAGCACATGACTATAACAAGCAATCTGTGGGAACAATTCTTTGTGATCGGAATATCTTATACTCAACCTTTCATGCAATGAGTTTAGCATAAATCAATTAATCTTACCTGAGTTAATTATTGCACGGTGTTTACAAAATGATGATATTCCCTTTCTATCATTTTTCTCATTTTTTTGTTGGCATTCTTCTGTAAAGAAGAGCTGTAACTTCTGATCTCCCTGTTTTTAAAAAAAAAAAATTAATGAATTACTTTAAGTAAATACAGTAAAACATTCCCATGGTTACTCATTTAGGGAATTCTTGAAATTGGCACCTTTTCTGGAAAGACTAATTAAAATAAGTTTACTGTGCTTACTGCTATCTCATTTTCCATAATTATCTGTTAGAAGTTAGTGACTCAAAATATATTTTAGTAGAAAAACATTGCTAATTTGAGAATAAAAACTCGTGATGCTTTAGACTTAGATTAATCAATTTAAAGCACCAAAATACTTAGTTGTAGAAGAGGAGATAGGGCTCTTGATCACTTTAGTTCTCAGTTATTCGGGTGGTTATGAAAAGAATGCTAAGGCAGTACATAGCATTGCTAACTTCTGCAGGTTCCTTTTAAATAACTCAAAAATTCACTTGTGCTGTATTTATTTTATACTTTTCTAGCAGCTATACTAGACACCAAACTTCTTGTATCAAAACAAAAGTGAGTCACATATTTTCTATTTCTTTAATCTATTTCTCATTACCTGACGATATCTAATAAGTTGTTGAACTTATGATCCAAATAGAATTCTTCCAATTTGTGTTCTCATGTACTGATTGAATGAAATGCTCATCCTTAGATCTTTAAATTTAGGAAGTAACTGTTTTGTAATACACATAGGAGTAATATACACAGTTGGCTGCTGTGATCTGCTATTGGCTCAGTGTGTGGGAGGTTACTGTTTGTCACTCAGCTGCAGCCACATCGTCATCAGAACAGCCTCTGTTTAAACACCTCTGTGGTTTTCCTCATAGTAGTGAAAGTGTTCTTGTTATTGCTCAAGGCAAGGGGAAGGACTCCACTAATGCTTAACTTGCAGGGCCCAGCAGGTTGCAAAATTACATGTCCATACCGTACATGACATTGAGGGTCAAGGTCACCTGGACAGGGTCAAATTATCCAAACATTCTACTTGCGATTCTATGTTCCTGTTTTCTCAACTCTGATCTTTTATCTCTTTGTGCAATAGGACATTTGGGAGAAACTTACGTGCCTCCAACTACTTAGAACACAAATATTGATTTGTCATTATTTCCATACCTTTGGGAACTATTCCAAAGGAGGGTTATAAGTCATGTGCTTAGTGTGTCTTACAAAAAAGAAAGCAAAACAAACAACTCAAAGATGGCAAAATTTAAAAACTGAACATTCAAGAGGCACAAATCATGAGGGATAATTAATATAAATGATTTAAAAAGTTTTAAATTTTTACACACTACAGTGGAATAAATATTGTGCCCAAAATTCGTGTCCACCCAGAACTTCAATGTGACTTTATTGGGAAAGAAAGTCTTTGTAGATGTGATTAGTTAAGGATCTCAAGATAAAATCATCCTGGATTTAGGGTGGGCTCCAAATCCAATGACTGCTGTCTTTATAGAGAAGAGAAGGAGATTTGGAGATGGAGACATACAGAGAGGAAGGCCGTGTGAAGACAGAGGCAGAGATTGGAGTTAGGAAGCTATAAACCAAGGAACTCCAGGAGTCTCCAGAAGGTGGAAGAGGCAAGGAAGAATTCTCCCCTAGAGCCTTTGGTGGGAGTATGGTCCTGGAAGCACCTTGATTTAGGACTTCTGGAGAACTGTGAGAGAATAAATTTTTGTTGTTCTAAGCCACAAAGCTTTTGGTAATTTGTTATAGCAATCCTAGGAAACCAATATACACACTGAAGAGCAATCAGATTTTAACTGAGGATTCATAAAAAGTTGTGAGATTCTCTTGCACCTACAAGAATTTTAAGACTGATGATTTAGGCTAGTTTTGCTGTGTCTTTCGAAGGTGACCACTGAGGTTATATGTAAGAGGGAACTCTTGCAGCTCTATGGCAAAGCAAATGGAACAATCTAGATGAATGCCAGGATAGACGTAGAAGATTTTAGATAAACATTATTCCAATAGTAAAAAATAATTCATGAATATCTACATCACAATCTAAGGCCAAAATCTTTGGAATGTTTTCAGTAAATGAAGAACGATGAGAAATATTTTTACACTCTACTTGGGTTTAGCACTAAATTCCCAGAGATAATTATCTTCATTCAACAAAGATAGAATGTGGTCCAGGTGCTACTTCTAGCTGTGCAGGATGCATCAATGAACAAAGCAAAGATCCATATTTTCATGGAGCTTCTAGTTTAAAAGGAGATGACAATAAAGCTAATCAGTAAGTAAGTTACCCGAGAGTTAGAAGATGAAATGTGCTAGAGAAGAAAAAGAAGGAAAACATGACAAGAAAGATCAAGAGTCTTCAGTTTGAAGAGATGGGGTGGATTATGGTAAGAAATGGGGTAGTCAGTGTAGGCATACTTTCACCATTTTCATAGGTGGAATTTGAATAGTTTTGAAAGCGGTGAAGGAATTACTTAAAAGGAGAAGAACATTCTAGGCACTCTGCATAGCTAGAGACAAGGTCATAGGTAGAAGCTACTTGCTTTTGTGGAGGAGCAAAGAAGCCAGTATAGCTGGACTGTAGTAAGGGAAAGAGAGTAGAGATCAGAAGGTAATGGAGGACGTATAATACTGGGTTTGTAGACTCCTGTAAGGATTTTGTCTTTTATTTTAATAAAATTGAGAATTTTTGAAAGTTTGTTTAAAGAGGAGTGATATAATCCAATTTACGTTTACTCTTGCTTAAAATATTGAGAATAGTGTGTTGGGGGGAGGTGAGTGGGTGGTGGAAAGGTTGAAAGAAGTTGTTGGATTCTTCATACATTTTTAAAGATAAAGCCAAAAGGATTTTCCAGTGGATTATATGTAGCTTGTAGTTAAGGATGACTGTAGGATTTTGATCTCACTAACCAGAAAGATGGAATTGCTATTAAATGAAATAAGGAAGGTTTTCTGTAGAGTAGATTTTGTGGAAGGGAAAAGATTAGCTCAGTTCTAGATTTTTTTGAGTTTGCAATGTTTATTAGCCATCCAAATAGAGATGTCGAGTAGGCACTTGGAGATAAAAGTCTGGAGTTGAGAAAGGAGGTGTGAGCTGGAGATAGACATTTTGGAATCAGTAGCAAGTGGATTTAAGATTATTAGAATGAGTCACCAAGACAGGGAGTATAGCTAGAGAAGAGAAGATGATCAAGGACTGACCTCTGAATCTTCAATTTTAAAAGCTACAGGAAAAGGGAAGACTCTATGGAATGACCAGTGAGAGTGAGAAAGGAGAAAAATCAAGAAAGTGAGATATCCTTGTACAAGTGAAGAAAGTCAATTAGAGAAGAAGAGTAATTAACTGTGTCAAATGCCGCTGATGGTTCAAGCAGGATGAAGCCTGAAAATTGACCATTGGATTTAGCAGTGTGGCAGCATTAGAGGAGTGGTGGGGGAAAATATTCACGTGGTTTAAGAAAGAATTCAAGAAAGGAAGTTTGAGATAGTGTATATAAACAGCTCTTGAGGATTTTTGCTATTAAGTGGAACAATAAAATAGTGCTGGCACACAAAATGTGAGTAATAAAAATTTTCACAAGTTTCAGAAATAATAGTATGTTTGTATCCTTATAAATGCAGTGCATTTAAGAGTGAAAATGTGAATCTGTAGGAGGAAGAGGGCATAACCATTGGAGCAAACCTCTTGAGGAGTCAAGATGGATCATGATGCAATGTACAAATGGAGAGTTTGGTATGGATAGTTCATTTTTGCTAACGAACAGAAACACAGAGCACATGGGAGTACATGTACCCATGCCGAGAGGTGATGGAAGTCAAAATGCAAATACTCTTCTGATGGTTTCAAATTTCTCCATGAGAATCAAATCAAAATCAGCAGCTGAGTGTAGGGGTAGAGGAGAAAGGAGAAGGTGCGAAAAGTGGTAAAATGAATGGTCTAGGAATGTTTCATGCAGCTTCCTGGCAATGTGAAAAGCCCCCTAGAGGTTCGTGGTTAAGATTTTAAAGTGAATCTACGGTGTGGCACAAGTACAAGGCACACTTGTAATTTTCAATTTTCTTGCAGATGCAAAAAAGTAGAAATAGGCGAAATTAATTTTAGTAGCAGATTTTATTTAAACAAATAAATAAAAGTATTATTTTGACTTATAATCAATATAAGAATTGTTAAGGAGATATTTTCCATTCTTCTTTTAGTGCTTGGTTTTTGAAATCTGATGTATATTCTGCACTCACATCTCTATTTGGACCAAGCACATTTCAGGTGCTCGATAGTCGTATGTGGCTAATGGCTACTGCACTCGTGGTGCAGGTCTACTTGGTGATTGCAGGAGTGACTGGCTGAAGGAGAGCGGAGTTCAAGATCCTCAGAGGACGAGGAGCGTTCAGGGAACTGAATGGCCAGGCTGTTGGTAGGACTGTCTACACATCTGTCGACAATTCAAAGAACTAACAGAGGAGAACTTTTGAAGAGAATGACAGTAAGCAGGTAGGTAAAATCATTGAGAAACATGGGAGGATGATGCAAGAGTCAGTAAATAATAGCGAATGTGAGAAGTAATGAAGTTTCTAGAGAGAAAGGAAGGAGAATAGTATGAAAACAACAACAATTGAGTGGAATTTCTGTCCTTCTCCGTGACACAGGGGTTGAGGGAGAAAAACAGCCATCATTGGAAAAGTCTCCTTCTACTGAAAAAAAATCAATACCTTTAGAGGAGGTTTTCAGTAGAGTAAAAATAACAGGTTCATTAAGAGATACTTGTTTGCTTATAGCTCTTACGATATCTTTGCTGAAGTTGAAGAATTGCACAACAGGAATTGTCAAATATATGCATATTGACATTTTCAACAGAAGTAAAGAAAGCTTTGCCTAGACCTACATTAAAAACAATTGTTTTTCTGGACATGGGAAAATTCCAGGAACATATGATTCAAGTTAATGATTGGTTATTTCTGGGAAGTGGAACTCTGGTAACTTTCATTTTTGACTTGGCACATTTTTGTACTGATATTTTGTTACGATATGTATATTTTTGTTCAAATAAAGAAAAATTCAAAGGCCTATTCTTTCCTTGAGGACTTTTAATTTGATATAACTTCTCTCCTGAAGAAAGCATGGGGTTTTCAAAAGAACTGTTAAATGAATGAGATTGTTCTGTGTGTGCCTGTGCGTGCGTGCGTGCGTTTGTGTGTGTGTGTGTGTGTGTTAAATACTTAGGTCATAAATACAAGGGACAACCAAAATGACCAAGCAGTCAATAATGAAGGAAACCAGAATATGTCACCCCAAAATATGTTTCTTTGATGTAAAAATTATTTCGAGTTGAAGGCAATTAAGAGCAGTAAATGAAGAAAAAGCTTCCCCTTTTCTTCCTAAAGGCAGGAAATGAATTCTCCTTTTACTGGCCCATTCTCTTATCAGCCCAGAGAAAGCAGCAGAGAAATCTGTAAATAACTCTTGTTAATCAACTATCTATCTTCCTGGTTACTTCTTCACCATTTACTACTCCTAACCCAAACCTCTTTGTCTTGTCAATTCTTCATAAATATGTTGTTTCTTTGTCTAAAATGTATAATAGCTTCCTACTGTGGTCACTTTGGGTCTTCATTTTCTTGTGAAGTCTCCCATGTGCATGTGCAAATTCAATAAAATTTGTATAATATTCTTCTGTTAATCTGTCTTTGTCAGTTTAATTTTCAGACCCAGTCAGGGACCCAAAGAGGGTCGAGGAAAATTTCTTCCTCCCCTACCGTAACAATTCTGAGTGTTGAATGTCCACAAAGTGAGCACCAGCCTTCACCAGGACAGGCATGTTTCTCAGACGAGACACTAAGGCAGGTGGCTAAAAGGAAGCTGGGATCTATTGGTATTAAGCGTATTTGCAGAGCTGCTGAGAAATTGCTTCTGATGTTTGAAATGGATTTAGCCATCAATGAGAGAGCAGTGGTTCTTTCCCTTCTGTAAAATGCAATCTGCCCTTGGTTGGTGGCAGCAGGTATGGATGGCAGGGCCTATGGTTCTTTTTTTTTTTTTTTTCCTTTTTCTCCCCAAAGCCCCCAGTACATAGTTGTATATTCTTTGTTGTGGGTCCTTCTAGTTGTGGCATGTGGGACGCTGCCTCAGCGTAGCTTGATGAGCAGTGCCATGTCCGCACCCAGGATTCGAACCAACGAAGCACTGGGCCGCCTGCAGCGTAGCGTGCGAACTCAACCACTCGGCCACGGGACCAGCCCCCCTATGGTTCTTTTATGACGGCCTTTTTAGCCTGAGGTGACCGAAAGATTTTACTTAAAATAAGCCACAACTCCCTCAAATCAGAATGATAATTTGACTTTAAAAAAAAGTCTAGAGTTGCCATTATTTTTCTCTTTGTTTTTATAGAATTTCTTTCTCTAATATTTTTTGGTTGTGCTATTTGCCGTTATTACAGCTTAACAGGTTGGTTATACTTCGTCAACCAGTTTGAACAAATATCAGGATAATAAACTGATTTAGGAGACAAAGTTACTTTATTATTGCAAGGCAGCATATCAGCATAGAAAGCATAGTATCTGCCATGGACCGAGTCCCCCCCAGATTCTTAGGTTGAAATCCTATCCCACAAGGTGATGGTATTAGGAGTTGGGATTTGGGAAGTGATCAGGTCATGAGCACAGAGCTCTCATGAATGGGATTAGTCTCTGTTATGAAGGCCCAACAAAGCTCCCAGCCCTTCTACCATGTGAGAATCCGCTAGGAAGCAGGCTCTCAAAAGACATGGAATCTGCCAGCGCCATGATCTTGAACTTCCCAGCCTCCAGAACTCTGAGAAATAAATTTTATTGTTTAGAACCCACCCAATTTGTGACATTTTTGTTATAGCAGCCTGAATGGACTAGGACAGTATTTGAAATCAGACTTGGGATTGGAATCCTGACTCTACCATTTACTGATGGTGTAACCATGTGAGGTCATTCAAATTCTCCAAGGTACCGTTTCTCCTTCTGTATAATCAGTACAATGGCATCTCATAAAGTTCCTGCAAGAATTAAAATACATATGCCTGCTACAGGGTAAGTTCAACACATCTTGCCAATTGTTGTTATAGATTAGCCCCTCTTGTCAGTTAGGAATGATTTGAACAATTTTTTTGGTTAAAAGATTGATAATAATTGTAATTACAAGCATGTGTTTCTAATTTTTAGAAAGACAGATATCATAACTATTTCAATCATTAAAGTCACATGCAGTCTATAGTCATTTATCTTTTAGTATTATTCAATGAAATCTTTTATGTAATCAAATCAACCATATTGTATCATAAAGTCAAATTCACAAAACTTTACAGAGTCTACCATGAGTAAGACAAGATATTGTGTCTCTGGAGGATATAAAGGTTGCACTCTAGGTGAACAGACAAAGCTGAGATTTGTCAGATGAGATTTATAAATAATAAACCCTCTGAAATCATAGGGATTTGATTTCACTGTGGGCTGGTGGTACTAGAAGAAGATGTCAGGATAAGGAAGGATTTTAACCAAATCTTGAAGAATTAGGGAAAGCGTTGGGAGATTATCCAAGTAATTTTGCCCCACATGAAAACATCGTATTAAGTTGTGTTTTATTACTTGCTGCAGTAAAAGAGACTGCACACAATGAGTTTAAATTCCATTTTTTGCTAACATCAGAGACTCCTACTTCTCTGCTTTTTCCTCCTGCCTCCTGCATAGAAATTACAATACCCAAACACCAGTCAATAATTGTTGTATTATCACAGTGATTTTCTTTGTATTTCATTTATTTCACCATGTGTGACACAAGAAAACATAAATTCACCAGAAGAGAGGTCGTTTCTGATGAGAGGGAAGCAGTATTTAGGATTTTCAGTATAGGAGTTCCAAAATTTTGTTCTACATAATAGTAGTTCTTTGTTAAATTTCTGTGGATTTTTAAACTTGAGTCAACTAAATTGGTGATTTACCATGCACTTCGGCAATTTTAAAGGTTTTAAGAAGCCTTGCAGAATCTAAGCCTGCCTATGTAAAGCTATCTTTGATTACAGAAACCTTTATTTCTATTACTTCTATGAAATCAATGAAGGAAATCCTATTCCAGACCACTCCCTAAAGTGATGAGTTAAACCTACAGTGTGTTATTAGATCTTCTTAAGTTATTCAGTACATCATAATCATCAATAAAATAATTATTGATTGAAATTAGTGCCTTACTCATCCATCCATCTATCACCATCCATCCATCGATGCATCCATCCATCCATCCACCCATGCATCCATGCATCCATCCATCCATCCATCCATCATCATCATCCATATTCTAGGTAATCTTGCTATATTAGAACAAAGGAAATTTCTCTTTATCTTGTTACCAGGACTTTTTGTAGATTTCCTGAATAATTGATTTATCTTTATGTTAATGGTACTATAAATCACATACTTATCTAATTTCCTTCTTTGTATTGGCTGCTAGAAAACTTAGAGCCAAATTTTGGCCCACCTCTAAAAACTGTCTAGATTGTTGCAGTTTACATTGCCATAATCTCATTCCTGGCTTAATCATACTTTCCTATATTCATTTTCCTTTTGCCCTGTCTCTTTATTTGCCTAGTTTTAGCTGCATTTTCTTTCATGCTTATTGAGTATATATTGTAAATTGCCTTAAAAGTTGTGTGTTTTTTTTTTTTTTGTAGAACAGGAGGGGTATAAACAAATAATAAATAACTATATTTTACCAAACTATCTGCAGGCATTTTGGCTAATCAACTCAGTCTCCTTTTAGGGAAGGAGTATCACATAGGAAAATCATCCTTACATTCTTGGAACCAGAAGATTTTTAAATGGCTTTGTCCCAATTCTATCTCTAACTAGCTGTTGTATTTAGGCAATAATGTGAAATTCTCTGAGCTTTCATTTCCTCATCTGTGAAGTCAGGTGATTAGAAATAAATAGCCTAGGTTCAAGATTGCAGGCCAGGTAGTTTTGGCTGGGAGGCATAATTGAACTTGTACTGCCAGCTGGAGAAAAAAGTAGAATGAGATAGTGTTAGCTTCTGCCAGATGTAGAAACAGGGCTGGTCTAAAGATACGTGGGCAACTAGAATTAGATAATTTGGTGGCAATTTCAATGGGTGTCTTTTTCAGATCTGTTTTGGTTTTTGGTTTTTCCTCATTTGCTTGTTAGATGGGAGCAGGGAAGAACAAATTTTTATTAAACCAGAATTGTTGTTAAAAACAGATTCACACAATAACTTACTTCCAGTATCTGAAGTGGAATGGGTAGTTTGAAAAAAATTCAAAAAATGGATCTTTCTTCTTCTTCTTTTTTCAAAATTATTCTGAAAATAGCATGTCAGAGGGTTGAGAAATTGTATATTTAAAATAAGTTGTTTATTCCCATTAAATGGCAATATTTTTGCACTAGTTTTAGAATTTTAGCTGACTGCAGTGCACGTACTCATGGCAAGAATGTTCAATGGGTCAGGGCTAATGAAGAGTCTTCCTGCCACCCTCCCACTCTTGGGGATGCTTTCTATGTAGGCAGAGGAAATCTCTGATTATATTTCACCAGTGATATAAGGAGCTATGCATTTGCATTTATATTCATGTCATCACCTATCACCGAATACTTCAGTATCTGTCCTAGGCAAGTGAGAATATATAACTATATGACTGTTCACACCAAGCAAAGCCAGGGTGTTATCACTGTGTTTCGTTGGAACGATTGTCTATGTAGACAGAAGTGCTGGCAGAATCAAGGCATCACATGACCCTGTCGCTTTAGGTGGGCAAAATTCAGAAAGACCTGTGTTAAAACTAGTGTAGACAGTCACACTGTGGGTGATCACACAAGTTCAACAAAATATTGTTAGATTTGTGAATTTAAATTTATTGGATATGTAATTTTTCATATGTTTTTATAAATTTGCTTTGGAGTTAAAATTCTATACAAGAGATAAACATCCTTATATTTGATTTTATATTTACCTAGGTTGGACCTGGCTGACTCCTTCTTAGCATTTGGATTCAGTTAGCGTCACCCTCTTAAAGGAGCCTTTCCTTATCAATCAAGCCTTCCCATTCCCTGCTATTTCCTGTCTCATTACCCTGTTTTATTTTACTCATCCATCGCCCTTAGCGTGATCTAAAATCATCATCTTATTTTTTAATGTCTTAATTTTTATTGTCATTTTCCTCTCATTATGAGTATTAGCTACATAGAAGAATGCGTATTTTGAACCTATTTATCATTTTAACCCTAGGGCTTAGAACACTGCTCTTAACATAGTCATCATGCTCAATATTCTGAGTGAGAATGTTTTCAGTACAAATTTTTAAAAACTTATAATAAGTAAAATTTAAATCAACACTTAAGATCATTTATATTTTGGTGCATTATTTTACAAGATTATTCATTATTGGATAGATATAAGGGTCAGATTCTGGATATTGCAATTTTGTTACACAATAAAATAAAAGCTAAAATCAAAGTCAAATCGACAAATCATTATTGTAAAAACCGATTTTTTTATTGCATAAGATAATTAAGGGTATTCCTACACTTACAGCAGTACAAAACATGAGACTTAATCCTTGATAAAGAGAAGAATCAGTAAAGGTAAAAAGTTAAGAACAAAAAACTAAGTTTTCCACCAGTTGGGTATCTTTTACTTTTACATGGAACACTTCACTTCTGGCCATCAAATGTGTGGTGATTTTTCCCCCACACCGAACTATTCTCTGTTTTTTTTTTTTTTTTCAGGAATTACTAACAGTTATTACAACCAATGCGGACTTTAAAATCCTACCTGGACATCGAG